TGTAATAATAATATTCATTGCGCTAATTATATTTAGATTATTTTACTATTAAATTATATTATAATTTTTAGGGACTCTGAAACAGTTACCATAGCACATCATTTTTCTGTGGCTGTTTCAATGCTGATATACTTGATGAACTTACCGTTACTATGTGAACTTACAGTTGATGTATACTATTATGAACTTACAGTTCATGTATTTTTCCGTTTTATTCATTAATAATATAAAAAAAGAATAATAAAAAAATAACTTTTGTCCTCAAAAGAGATGTTCTTGTGAAAAAGATGAAAAAAATTATTTATGTTTAATAAAGCAACTGCTTAGTTTTGACTTAAAATTTAAGGAAAGTAGTAAAAGCTTCCAAACTTTTATTTTAGAAGGAATAAAAGCTTTGAAGATGCGCTTTTTGCATACATATTATGAATATAAACATATATGTTTGTTGTTTATTTAGATGCTATCATTCAATATGCTTTCTTTGTTATATAAACTTTAGTATTTATATGATGCAGTATTTGCCGAAAGAGAAGACAATAAGATGGATGTGTGGTGATGATGAAGATGGAATAAAACTTTTGTTCTAGAAGGAATAAAAGCTTCCTAGATGCGCTTTATGCATACATATTATGGATATAAACATATATGTTTGCTATTTATTTAGATGCTGGTATATAATAGCCTTTCATTGTTACTTTAGTATTTATATTGTGTAGTATTTGCCGTAAGAGAAGATGATCAGATGGATGTGTGGTGTGACTCTAGCAAGACAAGTGAAGGAGGCATAATCTTAGACAGATTATAAAAAAGGTTGTATCAAACAGCATTTGTTCGAAAAGATCAAAGTAATTTAGGTATCAGCATGTAGAGAGGTAGCAGTTTTAGTAGAAAATGGTAGTGGTAGAAGTAAGAAAACTTGAAGAGACTACCTTACATATTATATGAATGTGCTTTAGTTAAAAAAAAATGCTCTTGGCTATTTATGTTAAAGAAACAGTATAGAAAAGGTCTAATGATAATAATGATGATAATGATCATCATCATGATCATGACGATGATCATCATGATAATCATTATTATCAGGTTTGAGTCTTCCTCTTTTATGCTGTTGATCATGATAATGATAATTATAGTGATGTTGGTCATAATGATGATTATGATGATCTTCATTATGAACATCATAATCATCATTATGACCAACATCGTCATCATTGTCATATTAATGATGATTATGCCAATCATGTTGGTCATAATGATGTTTATATATGCATATATATACAAAATATAACATGAATTTTGAATAAAAAAATATACTTAAGGATGATTAAACGTTTATGCAGCTCTGGCACTAGCTATATTCTATCAAACCCAGCCCCTGTCAAATATCAACCCCCAGTCACTTAGTACACTTACCTTGTATAGAAAGTTTAGGCACACTTGTTTTTTTAATGTGTATAATGCTTTTAAGAAATGATAAAAAAATTGATAAGATGTACTCTGTATTTTTATGCTTATTTATATATGGCTATAATTTATTAATTTAGATAAGAAAAAAATTGTAAGGATATTATAAAGAAGGTGAAATGAAAAGATGAGAAAGTTAAAGAAGCAATTAACTCCTTTCAATTTTTTAAAATAAAGTTTAAACTCACTTTGATAAAAAAACTTGTTTATTGAGAAATTTGTTATTAAAGTCTTTTGCATTTTTGTCACTCAACATCCTGTTAGCGTTAGGAAATTTTGTTTGTATCCATATTCTAATTTTATTTTGAATAAAAATCACAACTACAAACTGATTAAACCTTGTCAAGCTATCATATTTTCATGAGTAAAAGAGCTGTTTTGTTGAAAACAATATAATAAGTCATTGAAATGCAAAAAATAAAAATGAGCAATAGAGAAATTGACAGGTGCTTAAATTTTTTTGAATTCAGCGTTCCTACAACAATAAAAAATTACTTTTCAACTGGTAATGTCAATGATAAACCTTTTATTGGCCATCAGAAAAAACTGAGAGCAGGCAATGAAACCATGCTTTACACGCTAAACAGATGCAACCCAAAAGTATCAGCGGGAGTATCAGCTGTTGTATAATAATTAAATCCATAACATAATTACTACCTAAATATAAAAAAATATAATAGATCTTACTACAATACAAAAGTAATGTGTTAATTTGTTGACTTCAGATTAGGAAAGACTTATAATGTACTTTACCAATTGCTTTTGCTTTGATCTGCATTTATTTTTTATTTTTACAATCATATCTACAAGTTCACTCGTGAATAAGACTTTAAAAATCTTCACCAGGTTATCTGGTGTTACAGATTGTGATCCAGGACACTTGATCACAATTATTTGCTTGTACATACCTGATACAGGTTTACTTTTTGTCCGACAATAACTTTTTTTTTATTTTTGTAGCCATTGTGGTTAAATCTGTGCCATATATCATTCATCATCAAGGTCACTATCACTAAATATGAAATTTCATTGTTACTTTCAAGCATAAAATTAACAATTTCTTCTGTTGACTTCGATTTCGCATCACTTGCTTTTTCTTTTACAACTTGCCATATTAAAATTGTTTACTAAAATTCAAATTAAATTAGTTACACTTTTAGAAAAATAACCATTATGAGTTTAAAATTTCCGTAAAAGGTTGTTCTTGAATATAGGACTGGTTTAAAATTCTTTAAACAAATATTTGTATATATATTTCAACTCCATTTTTCAAAAGTTTTGTCTTGCGTATATATACATCATTAATGGGTAAGGGATAATGCAAGAAAGAACAAAATTTGTTCCCTGGTGTAAGATCGGTCAAAATCAAAACAAAAAATGGTTATCGCTTGTTGTGATTTGTTCCACACTTGTGGAACAAATAAAGTTTAAATTGTGCATTTAAACTTTATTGGACTTTTTTCTCAGTTTTTTTTAACTTGAGTTTAATATTTCATTCCGGAAAAGATTTCGTGTTTTTTTTATTTTAAGTTGTGTTTTTTTCTTAATTGATAAATGGCTAAGCAAAAAATTAAAAAAAACTTGGACCCTGCCTCATGTTTTCTTTTTGTACCACTCTAAACTTTATACTTTCTGTATAAGGTGTATATATAAATATATATATATATATATATATATATATATATATATATATATATATATATATATATATATATATATATATATCCTTATATCATAGTCGAAAGAGACTTTTAATGTAAAAAAAGTCTCTTTCGGCTACAATTTTGTTACCTCAACAATTATGCTACATTTTATTGTTGTCGAAATGTCAAAGCAATTAAATTAGTGCAGAAGTACATTAATTTTTTTTTTTTTAAAACCGCAATAATAATGACTAAAAAGTTTTTTTTAATTAATGGTGTTTTTGTTGTTTTGTTAAAATATATTTTTAAAACATGCGCGGAGTGTTGCTACATTGACTGTCTTATAGTCTGCTGCTACTAGGGAGTGTTACTACATCGACTATCTTATAGCCTGACTTGCAATGGGGTGTTGCTACATAGACTATATTATAGCCTGACTTGCAAGGGAGTGCTGTTACATCGACTGGCGAATAACCTGACTTGCAAGGGAGTGCTGCTACATCGACTGAGGGTTCGGTTAGGGCTGGCAGTCTATCATTTAATTTAATATATATATATATATATATATATATATATATATATATATATATATATATATATATATATATATATATATATATATATATATATATATATATATATATATATATTAAAACAATTTAAATGAAAAAAAATACAACTTTATAATGGAACTAAAAGTTTCATGCCGTTCGGCAATCATCAGCCATATTATTCAAATAAAAAGTAAAAACTGTTATAAAAATACAAATTTAGCGTTGCAACAGCATCTGACGTCAATTATACGTGATCCGATATTTGCTTATCGCCGGAATCAAAGTTAGATAGTAATCAAAGTTGTAGGCACTTGTAGGCATAGGAAAAAATTTTTACTATCTAACTTTGATTCCAGCGATTAGTAAATATTGGATCACGTATAATTGACGTCAGATGCCGTTGCAACGCTAAATTTGTATTTTTATAACGATTTTTATTTTTTATTTGAATAATATGGCTGATGATTGCCAAATGGCATGAAAAGTTTAGTTCCATTATAAAGTTGTATTTTTTTTTTCATTTAAATTATTTTAATATAATTTGATCTATCTTTTTTAAAAAAAGATATTGATCACTCTTAAACCGACAAGAGTTGTATTTCCATCAGTATACAGCATTTATCAATAAATATATATCTATATATATATATCTATATATATATATATATATATATATATATATATATATATATATATATATATATATATATATATATATATATATATATATATATATATATATATATATATATATATAGTCAAAATGTTTTTCCCATAAACTTTAGTTTTGAAGAGAGCGCTAATAAACTAGACCAGAAATAGTTTGAAAACTTAAATAATTTTATATATATATATTTTTTATATATATGTTTTCACACACATAAATTAGTAAAAACACCAATCTGATTTTTTTTTTAACAACTTGTTATACCATCAGTAGGTTCAACAGAAAGCATATTATTAGTATCAGGAATATATAATTATATATATATATATATACATATATATATATATATATATATATATATATATATATATATATATATATATATATATATATATATATATATATATATATATATATATATTATATATATATACATATATATATATATATATATATATATATATATATATATATATATATATATATATATATATATATATATATACCCATTTATATGGTATTTGTAGTTATATGATATTATTATATTGAGAAAGGTTTATAAAGTTTATTATGCTTATATTTAGAGGATGTGGTGTCACCATGGTCTCTTATTTTAAAAAAATATATATTGAAAACAGCTATTATATATCATGCAAAATATTTTATTTTTAGGATGTTGATTTTGTTTGTATTTCTGATAACTATTGGCTTGGAAGAAATAAACCATGTATTACATATGGCTTAAGGTAACTTGCATATTTAGATCATATAATAAATTTATTCCAATAAAAAAATTAAAAAAAAAAGTGAAAATTGATTAATTTTCATGTTTTTGAACTAAAATATAATTTAAAGCATATTAAACTGTTAAAAAAAGGTTTTCTTTTGAAGGCAGTTGAAATTGGTTTTTATTGATGTTCATTTAATTTTATTTTAGCTTAATTAGACTTTAATTAATTTGCATTCATTATTTATTATCTGGTATTTGTTTTATAGGTGGATTATTATAATGTATGGATAATATAAAGCTAATTACTGTAATGAGTTATTAAGGTAATACCAAGTTATATACCAAATTAAATACTTAGGGAGAATAAGCAAAAGAGTAAAAATTTATAGATTAGGGGTTAATGACAAAACAACACAACACTTGTCTTATTGATCTCCTTCCTGTACTGCGATAATAAAATTACATACATTGTGTCAATATTAGCTTAGTTTATTTTTACTATCAGGAAAAAGTTACAATAGTAGTGTAAATGGTTATTAAGGCAATGGATAATTAAGGTATTATTATAATAAGGCTGTTATTAATTCTACATTAAAAAATAAAATAAAATAACAGAATAAGTAAACAAAATAAGGACTAACAAAATAAAAGCATGAACTAAATGTCATAATAGTACGTTAGCATATGAGGCACTACTATTATAATTTATTATCTTGGATTTTTTTTATAGGTGGATTTTTATAATGTATTTAGTTATTTTCTAGGGGAACTGCATACTTTTATGCTGAGATAATTTGTGCAAAACAAGATCTTCATTCTGGAGTGTTTGGGGGGACTGTGTAAGTTTAATATCGAAGGTTTAAAGTTTTTGATAAATTTTAATTTTTTTAAATTTTTCAATATTTATTACTATAACTTAATTTATTAGTAATACTTGTAAATTTATTTATAGACATGAAGCAATGATTGACTTGTGTCACTTGTTTAGTAAGTTGGTTGATAATAAAGGAAATATTCTTATTCCTGGAATTAACAATTTAGTGAGACCTCTTACTGATGAAGAAGACAAACTTTATGATGATATTGATTTTGATCTTGTTGATTATGCACATTATATTGGGACTGATAGATTGCTTCATCATGGAGATAATTCAAAGAAATTGACATTACAACATCGATGGAGATACCCTTCTCTTTCAATTCATGGTAATCATGTTTTTTTAATTATTTAAATTGATGGTATTTATGTTTTTTAATTATTTTAGTTAATGGTATTTATGTTTTTATATTTATTTTAATTTATGGTATTTATATTTATTTAGTTATTTTTAATTTAGTTTAATTGGTAGTATTTATGTTTTTTTAATTATTTTATTTCATGATGTTTATGTTTTTTTAAAAATGAATTCATTAAAATATAAGAAATTACCTCCTAGACTGTAGTGGTCATGGATCCAATGCAGTTGATAAGGCTAAAAATATATTTTTAAATTTGTTGTAAAAACTCGTTCTAAACAAATCTAAAGCAATGACAAACAATGAGAAACATGTGTAGTATAGAAAAATTATGTGCAGTAATAGGTGGACAAAACTATAAAAATCAATGTTTGATAGCTTAAATTTTTTTTATAAAATTTTGAATTAGATATATTGGGAACCTCAAAAGTATTTGAATTAGATATTAAAAAAATATATATACGCGGAAAAAAATCATATTCAGTAAAGTTTTAGCACAAAAAAAAAATAGCGATAAAGTGAAAAAAACTAATTTTTTACAAAGCAAAAGTATAGAATAAATTTTTGATATAATAATTAAATATTTTTATTAACTGATCAAATAATTGTTAATTTATATAAAATTTATAAGAAAAGGAATTCAAAAAAATCTTTAAACTAGTTTTGAATATAAGTTTTGGTAGCAAATGTCCTATTTTTACCCTTTTTTTTTGAAAGGACAAGAAAGAAAAATTTGTGCTCACTTTTGCCCTTAGAAATTATACATATTTTGAAGGCTCTACATATATGTTTTCATAAAATTATTTAACTGCTAGTATCTGCTACTTTTTTTAATACTTGCTGAAAATGAAAGATGTTTTTTCTTCAAGTTTTTGTTTTAAAGTTATATATATATATATATATATATATATATATATATATATATATATATATATATATATATATATATATATATATATATATTATACATATATATAAAGTATATATAAAGTCATTCTAATTTTTAGTTTAATACTATTATTTGTAATATGTCAACATGTACAAGATATCAAGTTCATCAATTCATAAGACAGCATGGTTTATCTGTCTAATTAATCTGATTACTTAAACTTGAGAAATAATGCTGTGAGTAAAGGTAGTAATCTCTATCCTGCATGCAAAAATGTTCGTGCTGGTAAATAATAATGTCGTTTTGAAAAAACATTATGAACTAATAATATTTTTTTAGTACAGCAGAAACAAGTTATCAATTCCATGAATAATCTTGAAAGACTAACATTACATTCTAAAGTTCGGTTTGAAGGATCAACTACCCTAAGGATTCAGAAAATTCAAATAAAGTTTCATGACAAAGTTGGACTGGTAGTTGATATGCCAATATCTGGTGGCTCTGGGTCATTATATAATGGAAACACTGCTGGAAGACTTTTTTAGAATGCAGAAAAGTTTGCTCTGATTCTTGAACTTGATGTCATTATGATAAAGATGTTACATGTTATTTTGTGGACATTGTTATCTAGCTTTCTAATTGATACTTCATTATTTAGGGAGTTTTGAGCTTCTTGTGCCTATTCAGTAAAGAGGCACAAAAAGCTCGAAATGAAATCTTAAAGAAGTTTTGTGAAACATTTTCCAAAAAGTGTTTGTGGTCAAAACGAAAATTAAGATTTATCAAGACCCTTTGATAAGTAGTTTGTGAAAGTTATATTATCCTAAGAGCAATGCTTTTCTTATTGGCATTCTAAATGTACTCAAAGAGGTTCTAATTTTTGACTAACTATGCGTAGTTTTGAATTTAGTTGGTATTTAAGGTGTTGTTTACTTTATTAGTATTTTTTATTTATATAACAAAATAATGCATGTTATGTAAATAAATGTTTTTTGTAAATAAATGCTTGTACTCTTACATATTTTTTATAAAGTATTCAATAGCTCTAACTATATTAACACTTGTTGATTTTTATTTGGTTGCTAAAGACATGTGAACTACATAGATACAATTAGTTTGAATTTTATTAACTGTGTCTATAAACCCTTAGAGGTAAGATTGTTTAAAAAAGATATTAAAAAAAAAAAAAACTGGTTTCTATGAGCCCAAAAGGGCATAGCAACACCAAAAATTACTAATTTGTGTTTGTGTTATCATTTAAACATATAAAATAGCATCGTAGCAATAATATCAGTTTAGTTTATAAATTTGACATTTTAAGAAAGTCATTTAACATAGGTAACTATGCAAAATACACTGTTGCTATGGAATATAGGTATCCAACTAAATAAACAATTTAATGGTATCATTAAAATCGTAGTATGAAATATACTCAATCTGGCATTTATGGGAAAATCTGATTAATATTTTAAAAGTTATTACTTTTGTCCAGCTAATAATGATTTTGGCCCACTGTGCAATGTGGTGGGGATTAAACTTAGAACTACAATGTTAATTTATATAGTCGAGTAATAAATTTGATAAAATTTGACATTTTAAAAAGATTTTTTTTAATTAAAAATTTTAAAATATTACTTTTTACAAGTTTCTATATTTTTGCTTTTTAAAGATGTTTTATATTAGGTGTTCAAGGATCATTTGATGGTGCTGGATGCAAGACTGTTATACCAAAAAATGTAATTAAATTTTTTTTTAACTTATTTGTTTTATATTTAAAAATCATTTCTACTTTTAATTTTTATCTTTTTTCAGGTTATTGGAAAATTCTCAATTCGTTTGGTACCCGATCAGACTCCTGAACATATAGAACATTTAGTAAAAACATATTGTCAACAGGTCCATGCTGACAGTAATAGTCCTAACAAATTAATGTAAGATTTTAGCACAGTATTTATTGCCACCATAAATATACTATCTTCATTCTCCTTATTATATATTTATAAGTATTCATGATTCCATGTTCTAATAAATTCATCGAACTTTAAAATCACACAAAAAAATCTTTTTATAGAGAAATTTTGATTTACAAAAAAACATAATACTTATTTACTTTAGTAAAACATAAATACTTATTTACTTTAGAAATATTTATTCTTTAATAGAAAAAGTGTTAATCATCAGTAATAGATGCAGAAGTAAATCTTGATTGTCAATGAATTGACAAAAATTGTCAAGATGCAGAAGTAAATCTTGATCCTCAATAATAGATACAGAGGTTGTTTAGTAGTAGATTAATAGATACAGAGGTTGTTTAGTAGTAGAGTAATTGATATAGAAGTTGTTTAATTTTATTTTTTGGTTTTATTTCAGTGTAACAATGGCTCATGGAGGAATGCCATGGTTAAGTGATTATAATGATTCTAATTACACAGCTGGTATCAAAGCTATGAAAAGAGGTAACCATAGATACTAACAAGAGTTTCAATCATCACACTATTGTCATTTAAACTATACTACTATGATAACTATATTGTTATCATAATTGTCATGTCATTATACACTATGTCATTATCATGAATTTTTATTTTGTTTAAATGTTGTTACTTTTTTAAAATTAAATATGTGATTACCCTATATCTAAAATTTTTAGTTTTTAATGTAACACCTGACTTGACACGTGAAGGATGTAGTATTCCTGCGACACTAATAATGCAAAACGCAACTGGTAAAAGTGTGATCTTACTTCCTATTGGTGCTTGTGATGATGGGGCGCATTCACAAAATGAAAAAATTAATCGAAGTAACTTTATTAGTGGGGTAATACTAGATTGTAATTAATTTTATTCTAATTAAGGTTATGCTTATAAAAATCAAGTTAATTGTAATGTATATTATTTTTTATATTATTGCTGTTATCACTGTTATTAATATTTTATTGTTGTTATTTAATGTGATATATCTTCTATTTTTATCATATGATGTTTCTTCTATTTTTATTATATTATATTTCTTCTTTTATTATTATATAATATTTTTTCTATTTTTATTATGTGATAGTTATCCTATTTTTACAATCATTATATGATATAATAATTCTTTTATTTTTATTTTACGATAATTCTTTTATTTTTAGATCAAAGTGCTTGGTGCATACTTGGACGAAGTTTCGAAAACAGTTTAGATATATATATATACATATATATATACATATATATATATATATATATATATATATATATATATATATATATATATATATATATATATATATATATATATATATATATATATATATATATATATATATATATGAAAAAACTCATATTTTTATTTTGAAATTAATTATGTTGAAAAATTTATTTTAAGAATAAATCATCCCAAAACTTAAATTATGTTTTTGATTTTTTTAATTAAGTTATTCTTTATTAAACAAATATTTACAATATCTTTGAGGAAAACTGGAGTATTTTAATGAGATTTTGTATTATACAACATTCAACCCGTAAAAAGCCATGTTATAGTCATATGACAAAGTATTAAATTATCAATGACTATTAAGTTGATCTCTATGCATATCTTTGCTTTTATAAAATAACTACATTTACAAACTATTTAAGTTTGAAACCTAACACTATATGGGCCACTTTTATATAAATGTTCATTTAATCTTTCACAACAGTTAACTGTAAAGGAAAAAGTTTTTTTTTTTTTTTTTTTTTTCTTGTTACGTTATCACAAAATAAAATGAGCTTTAATTAATCTTACTGCCAGAATTGAAGGTAAATCATTACTATCTTTTGTGTTAACAAAAGATAGTGTAAAAACTATTGAAACATTTGTAGGTTTAAGTATTAAAACTTATATCATTATATAATATATATCATTATATCATTATATATGCAATAATAATAAATTTATATCACTATATATATTTTAGCAACCTTGGTGCAGTGGTTAGAGTTCTGGCTCAGAACCCAGAGGTCTGAGGTTCGACGCCCGGCTCTAGCCCAATAAGCGACATGGGTAAGGAAGGAGGCATGAACTTCTAGTTAAATGCTCTCCCGAGGTGCTCTGCGATAAAACCGTAAGGACTTCTGGAAGCACCTAAATAACCTTAAAAAATATATATATTAATATTATTATTAATTTTTGTAAAACATTGTATTAATAACTATTAATAACAAATGATTTTTAAAAAAATTATTGCTTTTCAGTTTGTATATTATTTTTGTTTTTAGTGATTTAATGTTATCTGTAAAGCATTATGTGTATTTGTTATTACATGTGTAGAGGGTGTGAAAGAAAAGATGATCAGATCAATGTGTTGTAGGGCTTTGAGTAGTAAGAAAAAAAGCAATTATTTTTAAAAATACTGGAAATATTAAATATATCTGATAAGGTGCATAATGAATGGTCAAGGTTTTTGGGCATGTAGAGTGTAGATATGCCAATAATAATGTATAAATTAACTAATAAAGATTTTTTTGAAGAAAAAGTAAAACATAAATAAGAAAAATAGCATTGTAAGAAACAAATTTAGA